AAATTAACCAGTTATAAATGTATATAATTTAGACAGTTTGGTGTCGACAATGTTAATATTTAGCCTTTTATTTCAGGTAACGTCAACTAGCAAGGTGGGAAGGAGCAAAAAATCCTGCTTAGGGCCCCCAAAATCTAGTGTCAGACCTGTGTGGAGATAAGAGATTTACACCACTACAAGATTTTTGGTTTAAATAATAGGAAAACCCCCTTCTGATGACATATGTTGAAAATGCAAGGAACTGAAAAAGTTCTTTTTCTTAGCTGATGAATGCAGAAGGAATCTAACGTTATTACTAGAGAGCTGAATGTCCTACTGCTGTATAACTGTTGTAACTGTCCTCAAATCATCATTACAATAGAGAGAATGGATTACTCAAATGATAGAAATGACTAGTCAGTTGCGGAAGACAACAATGTAAAAGCTAAAGTTAGCATAGTTGCTAGCTATCTAGACATCCTATTTCAGTCTGGCTTCCTTCTATGGAGCAAAATTGTCTCTGGTATCCATTTCGTACTGAATAAAAGTAGCATTGCTGCTTTCTTCACAATTTAGTATGATGACTGAGAAAAGAGATACACTAATAATAGCTTGGTTGTATTTATTACTCTATAGCTCAGTGGCAAGGCTAGCAGTCAGAATTGGTTGACACTACAGGGATTCCCAATAGTTATGATAGCATGACATACTTGCATAATCCATGCTGGGTATTATCGTGAGAGAACATGAAAAAGGCATAAAATCTTCTAAATTCTGTCAAACTGATGATGGGTGAGTGATATGCTGCACTACAGAACACTGCATAACATGACAAATAACATACTAAACTTTAGTTGTAGGGCAGAATGCCCCATTAAACAAGAGTTACTTTCATGATTAAATCATCAAAATGTTCATTTAAAACTCATAGTGGAAAAGATTTGGCAGATATCCACCAATGACACAATAAAACCATTAGGTTTACTAGGTCTGACACAAGTAACTTCACAGGACTGAGGCAGAGTAACACTGTAAACACAAGTACACACACATGCACATAGGCTTACACATCCACACACAATGTTTGTGACCTGTTACAGAATCCAGTCACCTGTGTGGATTATGAGAAGTGCCTTAAGAAAATATTACATTCCCTCTATTCAACAGTCAATGTGAACCCTCACCACAAATGAGCTTCTTGTAAATTCCAGGTGCTACAAGTTGTCTGGAAAAAGCTCATTCACCCTATATGTTTAACACCAAGGTCAGTGACAATTTCAGAAATGGAAGAGATAAGGGGGCTTCTTGCCGGGTGGTGTGGGGAAGATAATTTTACAAGGAAAGCCATGGGATTAAATGAAAGTGAAAAGTGTCTCTTTCTGAGCTATGAAACCGCAGGTGACAACCATCTGGCTGGTGAGTCATAGATCAGCACAAGTAAAAGCTGAAAGACAAAGCAGTCTAAAGCACCGGTCAATGTGTTCTGCCCTCCGCAGTCAATGACATACACCTACATACATTTAATTCTCAAGTAGGACTTGGATACATGGGGAGATATTATTGTTACTGGGATAAATTATGTCACGGTACACTTTGAGTATATCATGAGTTTCACTGTGATGTGTCATAAAAAAGATTTAGATCAATTGCACTGTCCATAAACAACCTGAGCTGTAAGTGTATAAACTGTTTAGTAATAGTTAGCTGATTGGACATCAGTCCATCATGCCATTACTATTTCATCCTTTTTCTTCTTATTAAGTTTGTAAATGTTGACTTGTGGAAAATCATCGCACTGGCTTTCTTTTCTAGCCTTTTTAAATCTAGCACTACTGTTCTGATCATGCATTTTGTCCCTTCCAACTTGTTCGCAAAACTCAAAAAACATGAAATATTATGATGCATGTCATGTATTGTGAAAATGCCATATTGTCCACCCTTAAAGGAGCATACCAATTTTTCAAAATTTTTGCACAGGCTGTAAACAAAGTCAGGTGTGATGTGAAATGCTCCATTCTGACTGTGTCACAACAGCGGTCACAGGAACCAGACATCTGAAGTGTTTAAAGCCTCTAAAGGCTACAACACAGAAAGCATCTACTCAACATGTTTACAGATACACTGCCTGAAGCCTGACATTGTTTTATGCTAACATTATAATTATTAAGGTTTTGGCCTAAAGCGCATATGTTTGGATAAAAAATAAAAATGGCTATATTTGTGTTGTAGACATTGTGACTCCTGGTTCCTATCAGCACCACTGTAATGAAAAACTGAATAGGTATGTTTTTCTACACTGAATCATTGCACATTAAACCACTTGAATCACTTTGTTTAAATCTCAATGACTAAATTATGCAGAAATATTAAACTATCTGTGAAATGCATTTGAAAATGTGTGAGAGAGAGAAAGAGAGGGAGAATGAGGGAGAGGTGGAGAGAGAGAAACATTTAGACATTTTCTGCTGTTTCAAAACTTCAAATCAGATCAGATTGATTGTTTTGCTTGAGCAGTTGAAATGATAGGGTATGAGCAACACTGCCAAACTCTAAATGAGGGCTAGCTGCTGAAAAGGCTAACGCTAGGCTAGGACTAACTGCAAAAGAGAGAGAGGGGGAGAGAGAGAGGGAGAGAGAGGGGGAGAGAGAGGGAGACAGAAAGAAAGGGAGAGAGAGAGAGAGAGAGAGGGAGAAGGCCTTCACTGCCACTTTAATCCCCCACTCCAGGCTTAGTCACAGCAGAGCTTTCTCAAGTGCCTGCCAATTCACGCTCCCTCATTATCCCTTCCCTCTCTCATTTATCTATCCACCACAGCTCTGGAACATTCTGTTTCTACACCAGGTTCTTCGGAGACACTTGTTTGAGGTTTATTTGCACCCTGGTTTCAAAGCAAAACAGCCATGTGATGTCAAAGCAGAATCTGGTCAACTTTACTCTTAACTGTCATGTCAGCAAGTGTCCTTGTGAAATTACCCAAGAGATACAGTTGTATGAAAAGGTTTGAACACTCCTGGTCAAATCAAATGTTTTCTAACTGAAAATCAGTGAACACATTCTCGAGGAACCAACCTAACTAGAAGGGGCAAGTTTAAGTTTTACTATGAAATCCTAGGTGGTTGCTAAGGTGTTACTAGGATATTGCTATGTTATCCCAGGTGGTTGCTAAGGTGTTGCTAGGCCGATGCTATGGAATCCCATGTGGTTGGTAAGGTGTTGCTAAGGCTGTTGCTGTGGTATCCAGGGGGTTGGTAGGGTGTTGCTAAGCTATTGTTATGGTATCCAAGGTGGTTAACTCAGTTGTTGCTAGTCCATTTCACTATTCATTTCCTATGGCCATTTTTCAGCGTTTGAACAAGCACAAGTGCACTAATTCTGTACAGGATCTACAAACCTGCCTAGTTTTGTGTCAAAATAAGCATGGAATAATAAAACAAAGAACAGTGAAGCCAAGCCAACATAAAAATGGCATTTTTTTCTGCATTTTAAGGCATAATTTTTATTTATTTGCTAAAATTTACCATATTGTTAAATATATTGTTCTTTAAACAAAACAAAATACAAAATGTGCTAAAACTATTGCACAGGTCATATTTTATGTTTTTGTGATTTTAGTAAATAAATGATAACTGTGCATTAAAATGTGCAGAAGTGTGTTTTTCACAACCAACAAACTGACCCAGGGCACCTGAACTTTCGCATACTCTGACTGTAGCTGTTAGGTAGAGTAAGATGTGCCTAATCGACCTCGCTCAGTTTCTACTCTGAAAATCAGTGGAGTATAGCTGATAATGCCTTGGGATGTTGATTCATAGTCAAGTGTACTGTACTTGGCAGGACTATATCTGGTTCAAGTTCTTCTCGTCTCAAAGAAATGAGTCATGATACACATAATAAGGTTACTTAATCACATCAAATCATTTCAGACAAAAAGACTTGGCACCATTACTGTCCTGTCATAATCACTGTCATTTGAAGCATTTGCCAAGATTTGAATACAAAACAAAGGCAAAAACATGAATCATATGGCAGGCATTTGCGTGTCACCTTTTACAGCCTCTTGTTTCATCTGAACCTCTATTTTAACAGGCAGAGGCATTTAGTGCTAAAACAAAAAAGAAAGGTGGGTAAACTCTACACTTCAGTGGGCGCTCCATTTCATCACTCTGAAACAATGAACAATTATATACATAAACAAAGCATATTTTTCCACTTTAACTGCTATTACGTTATTAATTCATGTGAGCTCTACTGCAGTTTTCTATATTGCATTCACTAGTTTTTAATATTTAATTGACATCACGTTAGAATATCTTTTTGTTAAACTTCTATGACAGACCACTGATCGACACCAAAATTGTATCCCATTGAACCTACAATATATTTTCTAGCAATAAAGAGACCGCCCACCATTTATTTCATTTCCAGTCAAAATTGCTACAAAGAATAGGTTTTTCATGTTCAGGGTATAAAGTCAAAGTATAAAACGTGAAAAAACAATTTTTCGAAACAAAAAGTGGCATAGAAAATGTGTGTGTGTGTGTGTGTGTGTGTGTGTGTGTGTGAGAGATAGATCTCTAAAGATCAGTGCTTGAATGTATTTAATATGTGAACAAGGTGCCGCATGTACTAAAATAACTGTTCCATCCAATCTAGGAGGTACTGGCGGATTGTTATGACACAAATTAAGCCCTAACAACATCTCTGTTAGTGGTATGCTGTCTTTGTGTATACATGTGTACGGTTTCACAGCATGTGTCCTTAGTAGAAGCTAAGACCAGTGTGTGTGCGTATTTGTGCATAGGCTATACATGACTACAATCCCCACAAAACAGTTAACAGTCTGGAACTCCAGCAGGAGCTGGAGGTTTGTGTGTGTATGTATATGTTCAGCATGGGGTTCAGCAGGAGGCACAAGCAGGGTGTGTGAGGGGGTGTGTGTTTGCTGGGCAGCAGGGAGGCCATTACCAGACAGCAGCAGGAGAGAGAAGCCCCATACGGGGCTTAACAAGATGGAACTTACCAGGGAATTGGTAGCTGTAGCTCGGGGCGAAGCCAGTGTATCCTCGGCCATACGTCGCTACGATGTTTGGGTAACCTGAAGGGAAGAAACATCAAGCCTTGTGAGAAACTATCCTGACCACCCAAAGATTCCATGTTACACCAATAAAACAGTACGCAGCTTCAAGTGGGCACTAGTAAGGCTGTGTGAAATGGAGGAAATATCATATTGTGATTATACTGATACATATTGTGACTGCAATATGACTTTCAGCAGATCGTTGCTGTCATACCAAAACTCTGTATCCCCAAATGGTATGTTTACAGGAAGGGAAAAATCTGTTCTTAACTTTATTGTACCTTAATGCAGGGGTTCCCTAGATTTTTAACAAAGTGGACCAAACCACAGTGCACAAAACTTTGACGGACTGGTAGTGGAGGGGGCAGAGGAGAGTGGGGGTGCCACGAAGAACATGTTTAACCTATTTTTCTCTGTTGTCAAGGAATGCTTGGTGTCCAAATGCATCATTAGCATGGTAAGTACCGATGATTTTTGCAGCTATGCATCATACATATTTTAGACTGAATAACGCTTTTTTTCTTCTTCTTTTATCTTTGTCTTTGACCTGTTTGTTTCAAGCCTTAAATAAAACACAATTATAATAATATTAATTCATTAACTACATTAATAACAATAATAAATAAACACAAAATTTGAGCAGTCAAGCTAGTAACTCTTTCCCTGCTCAGTGCTGTATTGTTGCTGCCCGGTACCAAATGATCCATGACCTAGTACCAAAAGATCCACCGCATGGTACTGAAGGATCGATGGCCTGGTGCCAAACAATCCTGTTGGAATTCTGGGTGTTTAGGAACCTCTGTCTTAATATAATGAGAAGTCAATTTGGACCACTTCTATTGGTTGATTCATAATGAAACGTTCACACAATAAAGGACAGATGAAATTTTCAATTGGTTTAACAAGCTGCTAAGGTTTTAAAATTTGGGGAACATTTTGAGCAAAACTATTCACGTTCGTGAGATCAAATCACCCTGATTTATCAAACCGCTCATCTCGAAAGTCTGTGCTTGGTTTAAAACTCTCAAGGTACCCAATAAAAAAAATCTGTGATTGGTTAGGTTGGTTATTTGCATATTCTAGCCCTTTGTGATATTATCATATCAAAGGCCAATATCATGATAACAATTAACAAATGATACATCATGTCACCCTAACACACACACAACTGCACCTGCTCATCCACCCACACCAATTGCTCCTCTCCAACATGCACATTTTTACACTTTCTGGAACCCCTGTCTCCCACCCACACGCACACACACACACGTCCCAAATAGCTGCTAGATAAGAGATTATCAAGACTGGGGGGAGGCACACTCTGAGGTAATGAGCAGTATAAGTATCATAAGAAATGATAGCAGTTTTCTTCCCTGGAGCCAATCCTCTTTTCGGCTGGCGGTGAAAGGGGATGTGTTCGCTGCTGTCATCTCTCTCGCTCTCTCTCTCTCTCCCCCCACCTCCACTGTCATTGATCGATAACCTTTCTTTTATAGCCTGGGCTAATCGATCATGAAGGACACGACAGCGCGAGACAATGGCAAGCCGATAGTTGTGCCAGGACATGGCGGATTAGAGTCTTTCTGAGCCGCAGAGCCGCAGCCCCTCGCACGTTAATACTGCCTGAGTCCGACCGCAAGAACGGCAGGAATATGATCGAGTGATTGCAGAAGTCATTCCAAAGTGGAGTGAAAGACACAAGTAGCACGCCAGTGTGCTAGGTCAGAATTTACTCGCAATCTGTTTTTCTTTCCTTCTTTTTTTTCTACTGCCTCTTTGCTGAGGCAGAACTTCTAAATTAAGGTGATTTTGGGGTGCTGGTTGGATTCCTGGTGGCTCTTTCATTTTCTGAAATACGGTGACGGTTTTGTGGCGAAGAAAACAGCAAATCAGCAGTATTTGCAAGCCTGTCTCTGCTGGAACGCGTCCTGGTTGTGCTGTTAAAAAAAAAAAAGTGGGATGAGACCCAACACACATGCTCAAGTTGTCTTGCTGCCAGCGCTGAGGAACGGCCACTGCTCGTGCCTCCACGCTAAGCTGAGGGCCCACAGAGCCATTGTTCTTATTCTGTCACAATGCATTATTACAGCAAGCGCCCATACACTAATTATCTGGCCAGCCTTCAAAACAACAGCTGAAAACAGTTTACGTGAATGAATGCACCCCACCATATGTAGACCTAAATACCTCTGGGAACCTGAAGGCGTCGCATCATTCTAAACCTCTTGTCTGAAAATTTCTTATTAAGTTACTTTTCCTGCTTTTCTTTCTGCTAGAGCTGGGATCTCCACCACCTCCACGGCAAAGCCCTGAAAGATCTCAACGATATTGGCATTGGCTGCGCACAGCGAGAACCAAACATAAGAGATCACCAGTGGCTTATCCTTGGCTCGCAGCCACAAACGTGGGGTAGTTTTTTTTGTGTGCAGTGAAAACATACGCCACTCTATGTGAGGCCAGACATAACTCCGATCAATTTAGTTTGACAGCGGAAAGGCCGACTGGTGGAAAGTGCTCGGTGAAGAAATTGATCCTGTCAAAGTTCCTTTAGAGTGGTTCAGCATTTTAGTAGAGGCTTAACAGAAGTTGCTTTTACAGACTTTTTCCATCTTTGCTCAATATCTTTCAAAGGGATTTTTGTGTCACTTGTAGCTGAAAGCTACATGATCTGGGTTAAAATTAAAGAGTATCTTTGAAGAGACTGACTCAACCATATCACTAAGAGATACATCTATAAGTGAGTGCCTGACCTGGCCAAATGATAAAGGCTTACGTTTTCTGTTTTCTTCATTCTTTAATCTCAAACCTCTTTCGAAGCTCATCTTCCATCGATTGCTCATCCAAATAAACCTCTTAAGCAGCCATGCTATGAAAAAGATACCTCAGTGAATATCCTGGGCTAATCTATTATGCTGGCTTTCTGGTCTACAGCAAGATAGCCACCTTTACCTGCACCGTTTCCGTCTGCTGTATCATTTGTTTACAGAGCCCTGTCCTTTCTCCCCTGTGAATACAGCTGCACTGTGTACTCTCCTAAAGAGGAGCCAGATGCCCCAGTTAAATATACATGACATGGGCTTTTCCTGTGATATTTAAAGAGCTTACTATGAATGTAGTGTGCCAGGTCTGTATTGACAGTAGGGATTAATGTGGTGGCGGGGCCAGTGCCTGCGGGAACATGAGCAAAGTGAAGGCCTACACAAGGCCCTGCCCTGTCCTCATACACCACAGCTTACCACACTGCTACTGTTACACCACAGATACCACTATCGGTGGCTGACAGACTCGCTGGAGCAGACCTTAAGAAGGTAAAACAAAACATGCAGAGATTCCAGCTTCTAGCAAAAGGAAGCTGGAGCACAGCATCAGAAATAAGCAGAGGCCCCATATTTAACATTCCTGCCTCTTAAAACATAAGTCTGGTGGCTAAAATGCCCCAGAATAATGTTATAAATGTAATAAATCAATATGAATGAATGCTACTATTGCACTAAAATACTATCAACAGTTCGTTTTTCTGTCATGTGTTAGAGCAGAAAAACACTTAAGTATGCAATGCAGAGGGTATTTGAGGATCTATACTAAAAAAAAAACTCTGGACTAAGACGAAATTTAAAGTTATATTTTTGCCAGAGTTGCAAAATCATCTAAATTAATTATGTACAGCACTGCAAAAGTAATTTCCAGTCAAAACGCTCACCATGTAAAAGTTATTAATTTTGTAGGAGATATTTCTGAGAAGATCAGATATAAGATAATCCATTTAGATAAGAAAGAGGAAAGTTAAAGGACAATAAGAGAAAAAACAGGACTTCACAAAACTGGAGTACAAAAATTATTAAAAGATACAAAAAATGGGACTTCTGAGTACCGTGCAAAACCTGGTAGACCACCTAAACTCAGATAAACAGCACATAAATCTTTCATATTCGTGTTTCTGTCCATCCCTCCACTGTGAGAAGACAACCCAATACCATGGGTCTGAAAGGATGTGTAGCTGTCAAGAAGCCATTACTGAGAAAAGAAGAAAATACACAAAAAAGAAGCCAATGGTGTTCTCAGAACAATGGACTGGCCATCTCAGATCTTAACATCATTGAAAGTGTTTGGGATTATTTGGATTGTGAGAAGCAGAAAATGCAACCAACTTCTAAGACTGAACTTTGGTGGTGTGGAAAAATATCCCTGCAGGTTTTTTTTTTTAAAAACTGAAAGCAAGTTTTCCAAAAAGAATGGAAGCTGTAATAAAGGTGAAAAGTAGACAAAATAAATACCAGAAATTTATAATATATGCAGTTGTTGGAGCTTCTGTGTAATTTTCTGCTTTCTTTCATGAAACTGAAAAATTAATTGCACTTCATGGCCATTTTAACTGGAAAGTAATCAAGTAATCAGGGTGGTCTCTCATATTTGTACATTACTGTACATTTTAAAATGACATAGGTGTCATAAATAAGCCCCTTTAAATATAAAATGCCCCTGGATTTCAGTCAGTAAGCCAATAATTGCACTTTAAAAAAATGACTTCCTACCTTGAGTTCACAAACTATATGCACACAGTACCAAAAAGCTGGGCACAGTTAATCATAGTTTTTTTTCTTTACATTTCCTATTTTAGTATATTAGTGATTACATCAACAACACAAAGTAATACATATCAAATTATGCAGTGATCAGAATTAAAATGGTTATATTTTATATTGTTCAAAGTAGCCTCCTTTTGTCACAATGCAGATTTGGACACTGTTGGCGTTCTCTCAAGCAGCTTCATGAGGAGCCAATAAGGATGTTTTTCCAACAGGCCTGAAAAAGTTCCACATACGCTGAGCACTTACTGGCTGCTGTAAACTACTTTACAGGGTTCTTCAAAAATGTTCGTTTTGGAAATAAACTTATACACAGACACAAACTTCACTAATTCTATTTGTCTTAGAAACATTTTTTAGAGAAGTATTTAAGCAAAAGCTTTCAGACTAAATTATCTTTAGGATAACATGAATAACATACACTCAGCCAAGTGTGTACAAGCTTTTAAAAGAGAATTCCACTGATTTCTTTTTTTCAAAATTTCTCAGATAATTTCTTTCATAATTTATAATTTAATTATAAGTCATTAGAAATGATAATTCAATCGTAACGAGTCCAAATCTTTCTCCGGGGTAGTGACAGGAACTAGATATTTAATGCCTTGAAGCTACCTAGAGAAATTTTGTACCCACAAATATGTTGTCTGATGCCTGAGATGTTGTATTATGATAGCTTTAAGATGAAGTTTTGGCCTAAAATGTATTTTTGAAACTCATTCATACTGAAGAGATGCATGAAAGGTGTTACCTGCATAAGGCAAAACATTACAATTTTACCACTTTTTTACCATTATTAACATTATATATAAAAACCTACAGATGTCACAGATTCACTGGTCATTTTGGATAGTAAAAAATCTGAGTAAGTTACTCTACAATGAACCGTTTTACATCAAACCACTCTGAATGACTTGGTTTACATCTCAGTAATTGAATGATGCTGGACAAATTGGTGGAAATTTAACTGGTACTGTGTATTGAGGGTATGAAGCTTGCACATATGTGCATAGCAGTATATACACCCACTTGGCAAAAAATACCCAGCCTCTTTATCAAAGCCCTGTATTTCATAAAAACAACAGGTCCCTTGTCTGAACCTCAACGCTGGACTTGGATGAGCTGCGAGAGACGCAGCCTCAGCTAGCCTTCTGCTAACAGGTAAGCATACAGGCTCTGTGTTCCTGTCACAACCTCACTGAGCGAGGATGAGACTGAACACGGCGAGGAGACACCAGAGACAGAAAGAGAAGGCCAGGGACAGCGAAGAAGACTCATTAAGCTCTGTCGCCAGTGCGGTGAGCACCGTCTACCCTCCGTCTCCTGGCAACAAGGTAAATAAAGGCTGTCACTTAATCTGGCCCACTGGCATCGGCCTCACCCTCTTATTTGCGTTATTAATATGCATGCTAATGTGCCCATTTTATGGCTCAACAGTTCGGATTCACTTTAAAATCAATTATCCATCTGGTAAAGCCGCACTTTGCGCAGGCTGAGATGTGTATTAATTTCAGCAAACATACATGAGGCTTAACACAATAAAGATAAATGGCTCGATTAGGTGTGGTAAACACGAGCGCTCCGAGTGCAGCTCTAATGAGATTTTGCCACATAAGGAATTACAGTTCCTTGAATAATGAGCCTTGTTGATTTTTGTATGCAAATTACCAAAAGGAATGTTTCGCTGTCCTGCTTTTCCAATTTCATTTAGATAAGAGTGTGTTCGTGAGCGAATGAGCTCACACACTCTTAACCCACTCTCTTCTTCGCTTCCCCCCACTTCATTCATTTCCATCTCCTTCATTCATTCTGTTTGTTCAACACTGGCACACTGATCTGCTATGAAATCCTAATAAGGTCATGACATGGTGTACGCCAAAGAATTTCATCAGTCAAGTGTCGATGCTGCTGGAAATCTGAGACCGGGTACCGTTATAAGCACACAGCATCAAGTAAAATCATTAAAAGATCATGAAAAATTCTGTGGCAAAAAGTAAATAAGAGTCACTAATTAATATTAGCCTTAAAACATCCCGTTTCTCTTCTAAGTCATTGATGGAATTTCCACAGAGACACTGAGAAGAAGGGACATTTGAAAAGTACCCTAACTAAACTTGTTATCTTCCTTCTGAAATGGTAGTTTTAAGTATTTTAGTAACAAAATACAGTGTAATATTCTAAAATCCACTCTTTATTTGTATATTGTTTTTGTCCTTTTTGGCCTTCAGCCCACAAATATTGCACTCTGGCACTGCAAGAAAAAAAGTCTGTGTGCACCTTGTCTAAATATTCATATTGTCTCAAAAATAAAGCCTTCCAAATGGCTCTTTTGTGATATATTTCTAGGTTCAAAAAGGTTCTTCAAACTCACATACATCATCATCATCTTTTGGTGAAGTTTTGTTGATTTTTTGTAAGTGAAAATAAACACCTCCTGTACAGGGAACAAACTGAAATCTTGCATTTTTCAGAAAATTTTAGTGCACAATGTCTATTTAATTGCTGGGCTTAACGTATTACAGAAGAATAAAACAAAGAACGTAAAAAGTGTCATAACTTTTGCACAGGCCACATATTTTGCTATATTCAGTAAATAAAAAACAATTGTGAAATAAAATGTGCAAAAGTGTGTTCTCTGTTGAGAATGTGTACGTACTTTCACTTAGAAAAATCATCAAAATGTAATTTGAGCTGGCACCCCAAACCTCTGCATACATCTGTATGTCCACATTTTTGCTCTATCTATTTTTGCATTGTGAGTAGGTCAGAGTGAAAATGTGACCCATCTGGGAGGCACCGAGGACTGGTTTTTGAACCACTGCACCACAGAACCGTCAAATTGTGTAAATTGGGTCTTATGGGCCTCAGTGCAAAAAAAAATCAAAAAAACTATGGGCACATCAATAAAAAATTACTCTAATTAAAATTTAATTAAACTGACAATGTATTCCTTTTTCTTTTTTACTTGCTAAAAAAGTTGATGCTCTAAAGGCACGGCACTCCACCCACTAGCATCTAGCATTAACCTAAATGTGTACATTAGACTACCTATTTAAAGGTTATAAATAATAAATATATCATGCTGCAGGCGGTGAAGGCTCTGTCTGAGAGTGGTTATCACGGATAGGATGCATTATGAATAAGAGGGTGATAAATAGATGTCAGTGCTGTCTGTGTAGTATTGATGGAAGCTAACTGAGGTATAAAAATTGGATTATTCTCCAAGTCATAGGTTTACAGTTGTGTCAGTATCTATGAGGGGTCCAATAAAGATTTTAGAAGGCCTGGTTACCCTGCACCATGGGTCCTAGTGTGACTGCTCTCCCAGCAACAGTACGCTTTTGGAACCATCCACTGAAAGGTTCTTCAGGGAGCCAAAAGTGGTTCTTCTATTGCATTGCTCCTAAACTTTAGGATTGTATGGGAAAGTTTAGTCTGTTTAGCCTGATGTGGACACTGGAACTTCATACTAATGAAATGATGCAGTCATTTAACATTAGTTCCATCCTTCTCCCTGAGAACTCGAGTGGCGAGTGTTGGGACTGGTGGGTTGTGGGCTAGGGGTCTGGTGGGGATGGTGCTAGCCAAGCTGGCTGGAATATCAATAACATATTTCATGCCGGCCCGGCGAGAATGCTTCATCAAGCCAAATTACGGCCGGGACGTCCTCTCCTGCAGCTTCCCCCCATTAGTCGTCATTCGCATTCTGCACCAGGCATCAAACGATTTATTTGCTTCAGTTACTTTCAGCAGCCGATCAATCTCACAGTCATTATCTCTTGTCACTGGAGCTGGGTGGGGATAGAGGAAGAGATGCTGGGTGTGTGTGTTGGTGTGTGTGTGTGTGTGTGTTGGGGGTGGGAGATAGGGGGGTTCATGTCTGGAGCTGCATGTCCTGTCCTCGGAACAAACGTCAAATGTGCAGAAAAAACGTGAAGCAAGCTTAGCGTATGTCGAGAGGGTGGCTGTGTGTGACGGGTTTGAAAGCGAGCAAGAGAGGAAGAGGAAGAGAAAGAGAGGGCGAGAGAGAGAGAGAGAGAGAGAGAGAGAGAGAGAGAGAGAGAGAGAGAGAGGGTGAGAGAGGTAGAGAGAGAGAGCCTACATGCATGTGTGGGAACACATTTCCACGTTATTCCTGAGTGAGGCTCCCATCAGAAATGCTAAGGGATTTCAAACTGGCAAGACGACAGTGGAGTTGCCAGCCGAGCGTGGTAGCATTAACTCTAAAGCAGAGCCAGTGTCAGCGCTGCCACTCTCAGCTCCGTCTCTGAGGAACACTTTCCCTCCTCTGCTGCCATCCCCCCATCCACCTCTTCCAACCCTGCCATACACCGCCTTGTTCTTCGCGTGTAAAGTGATGAACTTAACCTTTTCCAGTACATCAAACCCCAGCACTGGTTGCAGAGATCTTTATCACAGTACAATGTTTGTGCTTTAAGTTCAGTTCTTGGTCATAATATCAAAATAGTTCCATTTAAGAGTAGATTACCTATACAATGTTGATATAAATCATATTTCAGAGGACATAATTAAATATTGATCCAGTTCCACAATGTCCCTGACAGGCAACTCGTAACACAGTTTTTATACAGCCATAGAAACTCATGATACAAGAAATATGACAGTGTTTGAACTACAGGAGCTAAAGGAAATTATATTCAAGCAGTTACTCATTACTGCAAGTGCAACTTGATGTATGGTTAAAGGCGTATGCCACCAATTTTTCAAAACATTAAATGGTTTTTGTGGAGTTTGTGGCATCTAAAATGCAAATATATAAATATAGCCCCTTTTATTTTTCTCTTAAAACCACCAGTGAACCTACACGTCTTCTGTATTTTTTGTGGTCTGTTGATGAAGGAAAAACAGTGCTATGTCTTAAATAAATAAATAAATAAATAAACCGCTGACTACTTTGCCTGTATTTTTCTATAAAACAGAGCATTTCACAGTTGACCACTCTGAATGACTTTGTTTACTTCTTAACTATTTAATTCTGCAGACATACTGAAAATCAGTGAAACTTATCTTGTTAACAACTAATGTAACGTCTATTTTTGTTGGTCCATTGTTAAGAAGCAATCTAAAGGACAGCTAATGAGTTCAAATGGTGTTTAAAAATGAATACGCACAAGGTTTATATATCACAAGGTTTTCTTACGACAGCGATGATAAGCTAAAGTGAGCATTAGGACAGGTCATCATGAGTGTTAGAGTCAATGTGAGTGTGATATGGAGAGTTTTCTTACTCAGCATGCCCATTCCTAGCATGAAGGCGTCCATGGTGTAGGGCAAACCCCTGGCTCGCCCTCGCGTCCCCGGAGGAAACATCACCTCCTTGGGTTGGGCCTTCTTACATTCTACCTGTGAACAGACAGCACAGGAACTGTCAGGCAAAGAACATGTGCAGCTGTAGACTTGATGCCTTCTGCTCCAGTGGTTTCCAATCCTAGTGCTGGAATAGCCCTGTCTAGGATTGAGCAACATGAAGATATACTGTTACTGTGATCAATGACAACAATTTTTTTGTGTGTATTTTGGGTACTGTTAGTACTTCTGGAACACTGAACACCTGCTTTTTTAATTACTGTCAACATAAAGATTTTGGCAAACTATTTCATACACTTCAGTCACCTTCCAAAATATTTCCAAAAACTGCATTAAAAGCAGTTTATACTTTCCTTTTTCTCTGTCCAAGAAGAACAATAATACAGAACACACACTAGGGTTGAGCTTAAGCAAAAGACATACTAAACAAACCCTTACAAACAGCTCAGCAGATAGCAAACAGGCCTTCAGGAGTTAGACTTTAAGTTTAGTTACTTGCTGAAAGATCAACTGAAAAACTTTAAATATACAAAGTAAAATCATGCTACATGAATGTCATATCAGCTTTAAATGAAGGTCTATAAACATATTAAATCCTCTTTGGGAAACAGCACTGTTAGTTTGCTAACATAACATTGTCAATCCCATATGGGTGCTAGCAGAAATTAGCTTTACGTTACCAGGGTTAAATGCACAAACAGACAAAAACAATCAGGAGTTCTTTGATTTCATTATTTGAAACTGATCTAAGACAGTGACCATAATTAACTCCCTCTTGCATTCCAAAATTGAACATTTCAAACTTTACCAAACTTTACCGTACACAGGGTTAATTTGCAGTTTTTTTTTATGACTGTGACATTTAATATAAGTTTTAGTTATATTTAATATATGAGGTAGTTATAAGTAAGGTACTCTGATTCGCTGGAGTAAATTAGTGTTAAGTAAGATGTCTAAGACAACACCAAATAAAGTGTAATTCCAAAAAGATGGTTAGGGGGCAGTATAAAAATATTTCAACTTCACAGTTCAGTTTAGGCACTTCTCACTGCATATGTTGCACTGAAATGAAAGATAATGCAGATAATCACAGACTTGCTTCTAGTTTAAGATGTTCAGTAAGAAAAGAAAACTGTGCTGGACCTTTAAAAAGATGTACAGTAGGAAAACACAAAAATATTCATGACCAGGACCAGGACCAGAACACTGGAGCCACTGCTGTACTGTGACGATTACAGAAGAACAGTTTTCTAGAGTTTTCATGCGTTTAGGTCTGACCCATCGACCCAGCGTGACACTGAGGATGAAAACATTCTTTCTGCAGACTGTGGATCAGTCGTTTCCGAAATGAAAGCACAACAAAAGAAAATGAAACAAACTCCCTGTTGCGTCTGTGGAATTGCAGCATTTATATTCCTCAGATGGTACGATGGGGCCCCAATGGCTCCACAATGCTAACAGTGACTTTATGTGTGTGCCTGTTTGCCGAGGCATGCCATGCAGTGTCTCCAGGCAAAAGTTTTTTTTTTCTTCCTTTTTTTTTCCCTGAGAAATGTTCCCATCTTTCTCTCCGTCTCGCTGCTCTCGTCTGGTCCTCATCACCGAAGCAATTCCACCCGGGGCGCTTTCTTCTCTCACAACACCCCTCCACCACAACCCCTCCGCCTGAGCCCACCACCATCTCACGCTCGTTTCCCTGCCGAGCTGATTGACATTTCGCCCTCCTCCTCAATGCACAGCTAAGTGTCTGAGAGCCAAACAACACAAGGCATGCCGACGCGCCAAACGTAAACAGTGGCGTCAAGATGCAGCACCATGCGGACTTGGATACACACCGGAATGGAGCCAGAATGCCTCTGTTGCTTTCTGACTTATGTAACCTATACATCAACCCAAAACATGCACATATTGTGCAGAACGTGGGCTGCCACTATACTGCAATGGGGCTCATCCATCTGAGAGAGTGAGGTAAGCCCTTATTTAACCCCATTGGGGTTGAAACAGACAAGGAGACAGAGTGTACACATCCTGCTTGCATATCGTCGCTACCCAATGGAAAACATGTATCTCCATTTTTTTGTGATTTTTACTTTTCTGCCTCATTTGAACATGGCAGCTGCCCTTTACACTGTGCGCAAATTTCATGATGATTGGACCAATAGAAATGCTCAAAAACTGCTTAGAATAAAAACTCTTTCCATTAACTTACATTGAAAGTAAAGTACATTTTTGCCCTCTCCTGTGAAGTTACTGTTTTGGACAGAGACAACGTACAAGGCTGAGAATGAGCACAGGAATGTGCAGTACCATTCAAAAGTTTGGATGCAAACATAGAGCTATTTTCCTTATTTTTACTATTTTACACATTACAGAATAGTAGGTGTGACTCAGGGGTGTGCCTAGGCCCTGGGTATGGGGCTATAGCTCTGGGTCTTTGTTCACTAAGCTTTTAAAAAACAGATATGCAAATTTTAATACCAAACAGAAAAACAGATGCTTAAAAACAAGTGGAAGTGGAAGCTTTCATTAATCATTTTTGCCAGACTGCATCAAAGATCCCTTTGTTTTCAGCATCACCCCATAAAGTAAGGTAAGATTTTTTTGAATGATTTTTTTCTAGCTGCAATGTGGTGGAAATTCAATCAAATATTTCAGTAATGAGGCTGTTAATGTTTATTTGCTGTGCTAGGAAAGTAACAGTCTCGACCTCAGACAGCCTACCCATGCTCTATAGTTGGTCATGCTGCATTTCAGTTTAAAGGCCTGTGTTACACTGAAACTGGTGGGCACTGAAACATGTGACCCTAAAGTGACTGTTATTAGGTTGGTTGTAACACACTTTTGTGGATTCGTGTCATATTTAGTAGAAAACAACAAGAGTAACAGATGTACCATCTTGCTTAGCATCGGCGCTTAATGATACTTTTTTTGTTGAATGCAGCAAAAATTGGTCGGTTGTACTTGTGTGATTCTGTTGATGTCAGATTCTTAGCTAGTTATTCAGGTCTGTTGGTTAAGTACAGAAACAAAAAAGCAACACTGTACTGAATGTACTTGTTGGAATAATAAATAGAGTAATAATAATTGATGTATATTAATGCACAGCGTCAACAGAATAGTAGTAATAGAGAAATGCCCCTGATTCATTCTGATTCTGATTATATGAACACTTTATAAGTCAACATATCATCTCAGGCTGAGTTCCAGGTCTTTGCACAGTTGAGGCACAGCCCTGGTGTATCTATGAGTGAAATTTAAGACATCTGTCCTAGGGGCTGCGATTGTTATTGCCTAATTTTGTACTATTATAGAAATTGTTAGACATTTTATATATCTGAGCCAAACCAATCTGTGTACTATATAATAAGAGCTCTGTTAGGTAAGACATTAAAATTAAAATGAATTTCGACCTTGGAACCAAAAGTTGTATGGGTACACCCCTAACAGACCTACTGTACAATTTAACAATCAGCATTAAAAAGTGATAACCATGATCAGATCAGGACATTGCATGTTTATACATGTCCTTTTCAAATGTAGCCACTGCATTAGATCTCTTTCCCTCCCACAACATTTACATTCAATAAATACTATGCGAGGCTAGAATGGTGCCGGTGCAAAGTATGTATATACAGACTATGCTGCTCTTGCTTTTTTGCATTTCTATTTGCAGCGCACTCTCACTTGTTCTAACAAACCGTACTAACAGTGCGATCACACAGGGGTTCGCTTTAATCAAACAAAAACCTGCAAGGTGTGAAAACACCTTAAAAAACATATATTCAGTCAGGTGTGTCCATACTTGCTGCATGTTTTTGTCAGCTTTTCCCTCACTCAGGGTGGTATTAGGTGTAGGGCGTCCTGTGGACAGCAGAAAGTGGCTGTTGAGTCCCGTGCTGTCCACCCCTCAGAGGGGTTCTGCTTGGCAGAGTAGGCAGCCTGCTCTGGGCATGTCCACCCGCACGTCTGTCTGCATTACAGACGCATGTCTGCCTCTCACTGGAGCTGCTGCTACACTGACTCACTCGCTCTGTCTCACTGCGTGCTCTCCCTCTCTCTCTCCCTGTCTGAAACAGATTTTAAATACAATGTCGCAATTTGTTCTCCATGCTCTGCTTGCTGCCACTGTGGACTGGTGCTCTGTTCTCTCCTCTCTGTTTCGTAGCTGACAAACCATAGAAGACACAGCAGAGCAATTTTCTTCTCCAACCCACGCTCCAGCTAAACCTTCAAAATCTGGGTGTAGTTTTGCTATATTAATGCATTTGTGAAAATGTGAATTTCTGGCTCCGTCTGAATTAACAGGCTTGAATTTCACCTACAGAAAAGGACAAAATGAACACACATCCTGAATGGTTAGATTTAATTCGATTTGCTAAGTGTTGTTTATATGCGATGATCCTGTAGTGACAATCCTGCACCATTGTGGGCCAAGAAAAGCGGAGAAATCATATGACGCCAGACGTCCTAATCCAATTGCAGAACAAGTATGTTATCAAGTGCCAACAAACACCCAAAGTGCTCCTCTCTCTTACAAACACAACATGCCTTAATTAAACAATGAATCTGAGGAGAGTGTGAAAGCACGCGTATGAGTAGAGTGTGACGCGTGTAATTATGTCAGTATGTGGTTTCGGCGACGAAGGCTTGTGCTCTCGGTGTGTTGCTAATAGGCGCAGAAAGGCCTTGCTTCTGATCTGCCAGCCATCAATGGGCCGTTAAGAGCCATGACTGCTGTTCCACATTATTACTTAACTAATTAGCCAACTGGCTGAGGCAGGCCACTGATGAGCTCCTTCACTTGTTAATGAAAATATGAGGCCTGCGGCTAATGACCTGCGAGCTCAGGGCTGGGCTGCAAACAGGCCGGAGAACGGGGGGAGGAGAGATAGAGGGGTGGAGAGGAAAGCGAGAGAGACCGAGAGAGAGACGGGGGGATAATGAGGGAACTCCTGGAATTTGTGTTGGATTATGCGTGCAGGCAGAAGAAGGGTATTAAAGAATGTCTAGCAAAGGACACACCATGCTAACAACAT